GAACTTCAGCAGTGACATATTTGTACTTTGGCTCAATGATACGGAGGCTTGTGGCGGGAAATGTCATGATATGGGCGAACGTGGACAACGAGAATTTGCAAACGTTGATCCCCACTAATTATGAAGAAGGTTCACTCAACTGTTGTTGTCTCAACTACGGTAGACTCGTATGCAATTACACTGCAAATCCAATGTGTGAATTCCTATTACGTGTTACGTGTTTTATGTACATTTCGTCATCGCGAATTTACTAGATTATTAATGCGAATTTACTAGATTTATTAGACTAAATCTACCCCAATACTGAACTCATCGCATAGTCGAGTACATGCTAAGTTTGTGGCAAGGCTTTAATGTAGGATGAGGTTTAAAGAGTAATATGGTAAAAACCACACATAACCATTCTGGATAAAAAAGCAAATTAGCTTTAATCCATACCAGTATCGACTAATCCACACGGTATGAACGGATGACCACTTTCGATGGTAACATATAAAGCAAAGAAAAGAATAGTGATGAACGTCAATGCTCCTATCAGAAAATCTGCAGCGCTAATCCCAAGAAACACCTGTTGCTGTCTGAAAGATGACCGATTTCAAGAAATCCCCCTGCTACTATAGACATGAGCTGACTTGCATATATGATCGATCAAGACTGCTATCATCAAAATAAATAAATCCATCTTCGTCCTTACACACGCTACATTTCCGTGCAAAATTCACTTCCAATACCCTCCCTTCTTACCGAGAGCTGCCCTATCACGTGAGTCGACTCAGCAACAACCGTCACTCAGCCAACCTGAGCAAGAATACGTCCATCCATTCAGCACTAGACCGAGTCCTTATTCAGATCGACACAAAACGAACAATGGCGAATATCTTACCCAGTACTGACTTCCCACATTTTGATTGTCCTGTCTCTGGATGCAGAAACAAGGTAGTCACCATTGGGGAAAAACGATACGCTGCTAACGTTATGGTCATGACCATACAGAGTTCGCAAACATTCGTAAGAATGGAAGTCCCATAATTTAATGGTCATATCAGCGGAGCATGAGCCTAAAGCAGTAACAATATGACAACCAAGTATCAATCAAACGACAGAATTTTCACAGTTCTATCTAGAGTACAACTTATTTGCTTTACTTCCACTGTTTATGTATTGCATAACTGAAGTAATTACGTTTTCTATTTAAGCTGAAATGCAGGATTCTTTGGTCAAAAATAATGAAATCACACAAACAGGGTTCCACAAATAACGGCAGACGGACGTTAAATAAATAATTTTTACGATAACAATTTTTCGCGCATATCTTGATTTAGTACAAGCCTATATATTAAGCATTTTCCATTCAAACATCTTGACCGTAACTGTTATAACTATAAGATAGTCTTTGTTGCGTGATCACTATCAAAAGTAAAGTTTCGCTTCGATTATAAGTTACATAGTGACTTATCGCGAACGAAGTATCATCGATAATCATAATCCATAAATTCATCAATAATATAAAGCAGCTACCTAGAAGCTTGCCCATATGGTCAAACGCGATGTCCTGCACCGAATCCGTATGTCCTCGAAGGCTTTTTTCAAAGTTACCGGTCTCGTAATCCCAAACCTGAAAAAATGGTGTAATCGTTGAATCCTCGTAATAATATAGAGGTTTGTAGTAATGTCTACTTTATACCTTGATCGTTGCGTCTTCGCTACACGTAGCAATAAGGCTGAATACCGGGTGGAAAATTGCCCGATTCACTGCCGTCCGATGTCCAGTGAGGGAGTACCTTTCAGGCGGTCTCGGAATCCAATCCACTGGCGATCGCTTGCCAGGGAGGGGGACACTGCACTCTTTTTGCACCTCATCTAGCTTTGCTTCTAGGTCCATTACCTGAAGAAGAAGTAAAGCAACGCAAATTTTCGCTGTTCAAGCATAACAAAGTGCATATGAAGAGCAAAACAACCTCATGTAAATATGAAAATCGACGGTTCGCCGCCTGCGTCCACGCAAATGGCAACAGAAACTGCATATCAGTACTGAAAGCGATTACGGATTGCACATTCAAAATGCGTGAGCATACGGAACGGATGTTGAAAATGAATTTTTAATTGTGAAATTTGCGAAATTAATTTGTGAAATTTTTAAAAAGTCCACGGAATTCAACCTCTTTAACTTATACAATTTTTAAAAAGTATTACTTCCCTCTTTCGCGCAGAAAAGTATTGCAAAAAACAAACTACCATGGCACAATGAAATTATGAAAATCTTAGCTGCCAGATTTAGTTCCACAAGTTAAAGTGGACAGGAGCAAAAATGTTTTCGCTCTGCAAGAACAAATGATTCGCTACGACGGTCATGAGCCTGATGGTTTCGCTAAATGACTGCCACCAAGTAATTCGTTTAAAAGCATCAACCACAGCTAAGTGGCTCCTACGCCATGTACTATGTTGCTTCCCTCCTACATACTGGTATTCATTTATCTACCCGTTGAAAGGACAGTCATTCGATCAACGTTGGTTCCCATTACTTTTAAGCTGTGAGCCGGACAATTCGCCGATTGAACTGCCCCGTCCATGAGACATGGAACGAAGACTGACAGTCAATTATCTTTTGATATGGATCCCAACATAAATGTTCTCGACGAAAACATCATATGCAGAACATGTAGAAAAACTTCTTATAACAGAGTCGTTTACCTTCTTCTGCAGACGAAGAACAGAAGTCCATTTCTTTTCTAATAGCCCATTAAACTTTTTATCGTTGTCTTCGTTGTTCTACAATAATCATGTTATGTTATAAACACACGTTATCGCATACCAGCTGCGCTTCCCGTTTGAACGCTTCAACCGACTCCGCATACCCATTCGTTCGCAGGTAATCCAAAACGGCTCGATTTCTACATACAAACATGCTTTACAAATTATATACTTTATATGATATTACACATTAAATAAAATGTCTGGAGATATGCATGGATCATATTTGCTCAAATTACTTGTTCATTGACGAAAACAACGAGCACAGAACAGAGAAGAATGGACAAGGTTAAGCGACTGTGGCACGCATACAAATATAAATTATATATTTGCACCACTGCATCAAAAAGATAAATAATTTATAAGATTGAAGTTGATAAATAATTCCTGAAACATAGAAATGCCTTCTACTCAATCAGTTTATGGCAGACTAACCTTGTTCTAAACTGTTGAAGAACGACATTTGTTTAACTGAAGAATGAATACTGTCGTCGATTTATAATTAAGATTTGTTACGAAGAACCGTGCGGAACGACATATTATGTTACCCTCTCAAAGGCACCCTCGATTTACTATTTGGACGGTTTGGTACAGATCACCGGAAAAACGTTCATACACTCACAACAGACCAATCGCTCAATGCTACGCGTTCAGTTCCAAGCACCCTTTAACAGCATTCATTTGAACGATGAGCTTTCAATGCGTCTGAATTTACAACCTCGTCAGCAAAGGAATCAAAACCTTTTGTTAAGTCAGGGTCCATAATATAATTAATTCATAAATAAGCACAAAAACAAATTCATCAGAACATGCCGCGATGAGTCATTAAATCATATCGTGGGATTCAAAGGT